TATATATATATATGTCGATGTGGATGCGTAAACAGATGCGCAACATAATTCCCACACGTTCTCACAGCACATTGAGGAAGCACACACGCCACAATTTCAATCGCGCCAGACCTGGCTGGTTCGCGGGCGCCAGGAAAGGGCCAGCGACGGCCCCGAGACGACCCAAAAGGGCCCGAGCAGGCTCCGAAGAGATCCCCAAGACAGCCGAGACCGTCTAAAGATGGTCCCAGGCTGCCCCAAGGGCACCCCCAAAAGGCTCCCAAGAGACAACGTATCGTAATGTTCTAAACGATAAATAGCTTCCGCGATTGCGGGTAAGGGCACGGGGCGCTTGGGCTGCCGTGCCCGGGTTGCGGCGCTCGAGCGCCATTGTAAATCTCCAATCAGCCAGCGTTCCGCAGGCGTCGTTTTTCTGTATAACAATGTAGATGGGCCGCGTGACGGGGCGTCGGCTGTCGCGAGGCTCGAAAGCCAATGTGAAGAAGCCCGCCGCAGGCGGCGACTTGTGTCAGTTTATTGGCAGGTCACGGGTGGGTCGCGTGCATGGGTCCCAGGCAAAAGGACAAGAAAAATGATCACGACGACGATGTCGACTTCCGGGGACCTCCGGAGGCCAGATTTCTGCGGAAGTCCTCATGATCTACCAGCGGTTCAAGCAGGTTCAGAATGTCACAGTGGTTTATCAAGGTTGCCCTTGCGTCCCAGCATCGATTGCAACCTAAGGTCTCGGAGTTACTGGGATGGATGCCGTAACAATATTTCCGACGTGTACGTCCCAACAATACCCTTACATCCTTACGTATCCGAACTACGGAATCTGATGGTGTGGTAGGAGCTTATGTTCGCGCAGGCTTGATGGCTTGCCCGCCAGTCCCCCCCTAGCCTTGGCACTTTGGTGCCACAAGCCTGTGGCAAGGTAAATCATCACTGCGGTGCTCACAGGCACGTTGTGCTCGCAGTGTCATTGCGGTGCTCGCAGGCGAGCTGTGTCGCTCGCAGGCTGTAATTGTACTGATTCGCCAGACGTCTGTGCAAATTGCAGTGATGTTGCGGTGCTGCTCTAGACCTCCGAAGGCCTCCAGAGAGACAGCTAGCAGCCTCCGCGGGCTTCCAGGACCCCCAGGGGCCCTTGGAGTTTTCGGGACGACATCGCTTGCGTTCTCGTCATCTTCGTCGTTCGTCGTCGTCGTCGTTCGTCAACGTCGTCGACGACGTCGTCGTCGTCGTGGTGGTCGTGGCCGGGGCCGTGGTCGTCGCCGTGCGGGCGTATCCAAATTTGCACGGGGGCCGCCGCCAAGGCCCCAGAGACCTTCCGAATGCGCCTGGCACCCCCCAAGATGGCCTCAAGGACAGCCGCCTTGCCCCTTAGACACCCCAAGAGGCGAACGAGTGCGCCCCCAAGAGGCAAACACTCCCCACCCGACACATTGAGTTGCTGTGGCTTTGAGCAGAGGGCCCCAGGTCCACCCGCTCGCCCTGCATCCCGTGGTCGCCGGCCCCCAGTGACCGCGATAGTCCCTGGTGTCCCACCCGGCCCTCCTTTACACGTGTCGATCATGTCGCACACAGCGGCCACAGGCCTGAGTATCCCGAGAGTCTTAGGGTCCCGCGTCGCGCCTTAGACAGATTACGACACATTCCGTGACAGACCCGAGTGGAACTCTCCATGCATAACCGACGATTCAGCAGTGTACATATATATATAGATATATATATATATATATATATATATAGATATATATATATATACATATACAAGACTGCATTGGCGATGTGCGCCATGCACCTTGGTCCTTTGAGTTCTGCACGCAAGCGGAATGCGTGCGTGCGAACATGCGCGCATGCATGTATACACGCGCACGTGCATGCACGTTCCGTATAAACGTCTAGGTGTATACAATATATTTTCATTGTTGTATGTGTATACAGGGTACATATGTACATTTAATTTTATGTGTGTAAGGGTATGAACATGCATATGCAACTCGTACGGGACATCCTCGGGCATCTTCGCTGCATGCCACGAGACCCTCAACGACTGGGTCACAATATGAAATGTCATGGGAGCAAAATCAATGAATGTTGGCATTCGGAAACATCGTGGGGGTGTTTTCGGGGCCCTCGTGGGCCGTCTGGGCGCCTTCATGGGCCGTCCTAGGGCCTTCTTGGGCCGTCTTGGGGAGCTTGGCCCCGCTGGAGCCCCTTTGGACCCATCTTGGGCACTTCCGGGGAAGTTCCACGGCCCTTTTGGGTCTGTGCTGGGAGCCCTTGGGGGGCCTCTTGGTTCCATTATGGGCTGTCTTGGGGCTCTCGTGGGCGATCGTGGGGCCTGGCGCGGCCGTCTTGAAGCTTTTCTGGGGGCCTTCTGGAGCGTCTTGAGGCGATCTCGGGGGCTTTGAAACCGTCTTGAAAGCTGATGAAATCCGAAAGGCGAATATGCTAAGATTGTAAGTTTTACGAAGGGAATGGGACGATTACTGTGCTTTGAAGGCCCCTTGGAAAGCTTTTTGGAGTGCCTTGGGGGTCTTTTGGGCCGTCCTGACGCAATTGGAGTCCCTCTTGGAGCGCTCTTGTTCTGCCTGGGGCCTCCCTTGAGCCTTTCTGATGACCCCTCGGATCGCTCTGGGTCTGCTGGCAAGGCGTTTGTGCAGACCCGGAAAGCCGGGTGACCTTTTCCAAGGACGTCCAAGGGAGCCCGAGAACCCCAGATCCCGGGCGTCCATTTTTTTTTTTGGGGGGGGGGTTGGTTTCCCCCCCCCCCCGGGCTTGTAGAAATATGGGAAGAGGAATAGATGTGTATGTATATGTTTACGTATGCATATATTTATATATAATACAAACACATGCACATGCAAAGCACGTATAAGTCATGCAGTAACGGGGGTCGTAGCACACATAAGGAAGGTTAGACACGACGCATATAAATATCTCCCACCAGCAACCATCGCATGCAGCAGTATAATCTCACAGTAAAGCCAACCACAGTAGCGTGATGAGTATGACGCACTTTCACAGTAGCTCTTTGGTGGGGATCGGCCGAGGCAAGATATTTGTCCCGTTCGTGTTGTTTCTCAAGACGGTCTGTATACTCGCCGTCTCGGTCTTCGCAGCGCCCAAGGCGAAGCGAGACGCTCCCAAGGTCGTTTCAGGAGTGTTCCCGGACGGGCCCAACAGGGCACACAGGCGCCCCCGGGCGCGTCCTGGAGGGGCTGCTTAAGAGATCTCCAAGACAGGCCAAGATGGACCCCAGATGGCCCCAAGAAGGGACGGTGTCGGCACAGACGGGCTCAAGAGAGTCCGAGGCTGCCCAAAAGAGGCCCCCAAGATGAGCCTCAGAATATTCCACGCGCCGCCCAACACAGCACACGAAGCCCCAAGGACGGCCCAAAAACAATCCCAAGGGACTTCCATGGCGACCAGCATGCGTCCACGAGACCCCAAGACGACCCCCCTCGAGACCCGCAGAAGACCCAGCCAGCGGCCACCATGATGTCGACTCCTGGAGAACTCTCTGGGGGGCCTCTCCAGATGTTCCGGGAAGACCTCCGAGAATTGGGGACCGGCTCTCCCTCATATCCCAAGGCAGAGGCAATCAACGCAGTGCGATCGCTCACTGGTTCCTTGGGCCACGACTGCACCAAAGCACACAGGCAGGGCAGAACGCAGAGGGGCACATCTCCGTCGCCGTCGTTCGCCGTCGCGGCTTCGTCGGAGCTCTCGACCTTTGTGCCGGGGACCGCTCCTCCCTCCCGATGGTGGTCCTGCGGTCGAAGTCCCTCTGGACTTGCTCTATTTTCCATTTTGTTGCTGTTGATTTCTGCGCTGGCGTTGTTGCCGTTGATGCAACTAAGAAGCCTGTCAACTGATTGCAAATACCAGCCGCATTGTCTTATTTGCAGCATGTCATGTGCAAGCTGCCACTGCTTTTGTCGTACCTGCTGCTCCAGCTGCTGGTGCCTCGTCCGTGGGGAGCGGTCGGCCGCAGAGGTGCTGGGCGGTGTCGGCCGGTGCCTCTGGGGGTGCCAGAAAGGGGCCGTGATGACGAGCGACACGCCGGGGGGTGGGGGTCCCTTCGTCGCCGCGGCGGGATTTTTTTCTTCGCATCGGGATTTGCGAACGTCGCCTGCAGGAGGCACACGCAGCTCAGGTCTTGCAGCACGCGCAGCAGAACGCCCCGACAGTCTTCGGAACATCCTGGGGAGGCCCAAGAGGCTCCCGAGAGAGCCCCACCTCATTCCTTGCCTCGTTCCCCCCTTTTTTGGGCCTCCTCGGAGGCCCTCGTCGCCACCGCTGGATTCGCCTGGAAATTCTGGTCAGAACGCAACCCGGGAGAGGTCCAGGGAGTAGCGATATCGGTACCTTCTGGTCGCCCCCGAGAGACACCCAAGCCCAAGATTGCCGTTGTTTCTGATGCAATTGTTGCTGCCTGCTGTTGCTGCTGTCGCCGCTGCTGCTGTCGCTGCCACGGGGCACAGGATGCCGGATGAGGGGTGGGTGGGGAGAGACGCAGGCTGCTGGGAGTTGCTGGGAAGTGCAGGCGGCGCATGGGAGGCCCGATTACCCAACGTGTTCGTTTCGAACGCTCGGGTCTATGTTGGACCGCGGGGCTGCGGTTGCTCTCGGCTCGCCGGTCCTGGCCACCCACGGGTTCGGCTGGCGCGATTCCAGAAGTCCCCAGTTCACAATGGTGAGCTCGGTACTGGCCCCTCAGGATTTGTCAGACATTATCTAAACGTGGTGTAAGGTTTCCGATACCGGCGCTAGAACCTGTTCTAGTGTGTATATTTTTGGCATAGGACTATACACACGTATTTATATATTATTATATAATTATACAATTATATATATATATATATATATATATATGTACACATATGTATTTACATGCCCTCCACAAATTTGTTTTTGCAGCTTTTTCAAACAGGCCTTTGAGTGGCACCACCACCCACATCGTTTGCGATACAACTTTGGAACCATAACTAAAAACCAACAATGCCGAGGTTGAAGATTTATCGGATGGCGGCGACCAAAAGTTGATCAGCTTGTACTTCAAGAATGTTCGCCACAAGCCGGTCAACCTTCTCGATGACCTCGAGGCGAGTTTCGGCCACTGCTTGGGCAAGGCCCAGTCGCCGTAACCCGGGCTTCAACTCCGCTTGGCGAGATGTCAAGATTATGCCCCCAATTCTGGGCATAGTTCAGACACTCGCATTTTCTGCCTCATCTCGTTTTCAGGGCCAAGCTCGCTCGATTTTGTGCACGTATCCAAGCCAGTGTGCTTGATTATGCGTATGTGCACGTGCACACTCACGCTTGGTGACGACGCTTATGCCGCAGTCCAACGTTCGTTTGACCATGCATGTGGTGTTGCTTGTGGCTGCGTTCACACTCTTTGCAGCTCTAGCCGTGCTCCTGGAGATCATGGTGGCCACGCCAGCGCTCTCCCACTACATCCTCGCAGTAGGGCTGGTTGTCGCTTCGTGATGTCCCGCGGACTCGGCCAAAGGGGTGGCGCCCCGGTCCCGCGGCGGACGCCTCGTGGCGCGGGGCGCTCCCTCGTGCCCACTCGTGGGTCCGGGGCCCGGTGCCCAGCACCGCCTGGCGAAGCACACCGATGCGGGCCACGCTCCGCCTCCCGCGCCTCGCACAGACGGCATCAGCCCAGCTCGTCGGAGGTCCGCACGGATCCCTTGTGACCCCCCGATGTGTTCCACATCCCGTGACGAGCGAGCAACACACACCCATACCCATAGGGGGGTCGTTTTGGAGGAGGACTGGCTATGGGTATGGGTGCGGGTTGTCGGACCCTGGGGAACGCTCCCGTTCGAACGAGGACCCCCGTCCGACAACACGCACCCATAGCCCTCTCCGACCCCCCTATGGGTATGGGTGTGTGTTGTTGGTTCGTCATCCCGCTCCCTGTGCCTCGAAGCAGGAAAACCGGCATCGACATACTGTCTCGGAGGTCCGCGCGGATGCCTTGGATCGGTGCCAGGCCCCCCCCCCCTGGCGAGACCTGGCGCCGCCCTGACGCGCGGAGCGCGCCAGAGAGGGGGTCCAGCACCGATCCAGGAAATCTGCGCGAACCTCTGAGACTTGTTCTTGATGCCATGTCTTGCTCCCCTATTCCTGTGACGAACACACCCCTGTGGAGTCGTATGTGCGGCGGGCCATGCCTGCTAGGTCCAGGAGGTGCTGCAGGTGCAACGTGCGAAGAAGCGCAAAACGCTTGCAGGTCGAGAAAGAGTGGCAGGGGCATCGGGTCATCATTGTGGGCCAGGGCATCGAATTCTGAACGTGGCCCAGCAGGTGGCAATCGCAGCGAATTACCTCCGCTCCAAGCCTTTCAGATCGAGAACGTTTGGCAGAGACGTAGGGTTCTCACCATGCCAAGTCCCCAGGTCCCCAATCTTCATCAAACATGTGACTAAATCATTGGGCCCTGCGAGAGCCACACTAGAGCATTATCATCCTCTCATTATGATGATATATATGCTTCTGGAGTTACACTTGTGCATCTGCTCATGGGTGCGCATGGGCCTGGAGCCATTACAATATCTTCCTTCCGTATCCCGACCTTCCTGCTCACGTGCACACATCTACGAGCACATACTGTCAAGTTCTGTAGTGCCGTGAACGAATGTTTGGCGACGGTGCCGTCCCAAAATGT